TGGCAGGTGCAGGTCTGCTGTTGAGGCTGTACGCTGCTGGAGGTTGCAGCAGTGGTTAGTTCCAAACCATTATTATTTCAATGATGCACACACCATCTGCTGCACTCACCATCAGAGATACAATCTCCGAATTGCGAGTCTGAAGCGGATGCTCATGCGACCAGCTAACTGCCTTGGACAGTTCTGGTCGGTGACAGTGAGTGAATCATGTCGCTGCTCCATGTTGCAATCTGCTGAAACATCAGTTACGTTGGGGTTTCGACAGCCGGAAGGTCATCGTCGATTTTGGTTTGCGCCACACACATACGGAGGTACAGTATTCTCTCGTCAATACATGTACGAAAACGGAGGGAGAGACAGCGCGTGTGATGTCACAACCTCACAATCTCTCTCTCTTGTCAAAGGTTGTAATTTACCAACCGGTGTTGGTACGCAAAATGTGCCCTCGGCAGTGCACCCCGCAATCATTGGTGTTGCGATGTAACTATCCGTTTGAAAAAAAAAAAGAACACCGGTACATCCAGCAAACAAAAACACGCCCTGCCTGATGGTGAACTTACGGAGATCTACAGCAGCAATCTCTGCTTCTGTTTCTCTCTGTGTGTCTAGACAGGCGTGTAGCAGTGCCTTCGCTCTTGTTCCAAGACGTACACAGCTGCGGTGCTAGGTAGCTAAAGCTACCAAGAAGTTATTTTGTTGTGGGGACAGAAGTCTCCGCACATAATGTAGAATAGATAATGGGCTAGCTTCGCCTATGGCCTACAGATCATTCTGGAGCAAACACACATGAGCACCAACATCCACCGATCAACTCGGACAAATGTGTTTTACGCCGATCGCCTTTAGTCTATGCCTCACAGCTCACCTTGGGCAAACACATCCACCGCCCATGTACTTCAGCTCACCGCGGGCAAATATACACCGATCACCAGTTAAGTTCACCTCAAACATGTTTCGCGGTGTGGAAGGACAACCACACTTGATTTGATGACGTTTGTCGTGCCACTATGTCTCCTTTTGCATGGTCCCATATGGTGCATAATTGTGTCGGCGGCAGACATACGTAGTCTCAGTCTTAGTGGATAAGAGTACAAGAATAAGGATAAATGAGATTCGTAGCATGCGGGTGAAGACCAGTGCAATGTCACACTTGTTTTCTCATCGACATCAAGAGTAGAACACAACAGACTAGATCATGAGCTACCGGTCACCATGGAGCAAAGATACACAGATTACATGTCCTATAGATTCCCCCAGCCAAACATACAACGATCACCTACACGTGTCGTAGAGGTTACCATGGAGCCAACATAGACGGATCAACCATGTCCTCCCTCTCAGGGGCACACAGATCATCTATGCCCTACCAATCACCAGGGGCATACCATCAAACGAGCTAGCTAGATCTGTAGGGACCTGATCCGTTCTACAGCAGCAGTACATAATATATTTGTGGAAAGTAAAATAAAAAGCGGTGAAACTCGGCACAGTAGTCGTGAAGCAATATGGCATGTGCCCCAGCAAGGCTGAATCCGCTGCAAGCACAGCACATCCCAGCCACCATCAGCATACAGGACCAGGCCAAATGCCCACCACGCCATCACACGCTCACCTCCTGCATTTCAGACTCAAAGCCTGCACCGCCTTCGTCGTTCTTTCTCACCCGCCGATCTAGAAAGAAGAGCATGCAAGGACAGAGCAACAAAGCCGCGCTTTCACCACACCACCGTGTGCACAGCAAGGATCATCAAGCATGAGGAGTGGACGCAAGGATACCTCGACCAAGCAGGGCCGGGGTTCTCGGGTCTGCCTCTGTCTTGGCCACTTGTGGATTTGACCACCGGGGGAGAAATGTGAGAGCGTACACACCACTCTCGCCTGGTCCGCGGGAGCGGCCAGGCGTTACTTTTCGCAGCAGGATTTCTCTTTGCGCCGCATTTCATCGAGCGGGTGTGGAACCAATCTTTTTTTTTTTTAGTAGTAGATCTACCGTACGACTGCTGCATACATTGTACTCTAGTAGACTCTTTGTAGACTTACTGGCAATCTAGGTATGATACGTGATTGTGCCAGCTACCCAACGGCGGGTTGGCCACCACAACACATATGCCTACAGTATCTTCATGTCTTCTTTGACTGCCGTCCACTTTTGTTCTCCTCCTGTTGCAGCTTATTGTGCTGACTGATTAGACTAGTGGGTAGGTGTGATGCGTGATGTTGCAAGGAAGCCCGCTTGCTCTTCTTTTCATCCAGGCATACAGAGGAGGGAGGAAAGAGCGAGGTCTTACCAAAAAAAGAAAGGGTGGGGGCGCGTGTGGGAGCTACATACGTACTGCTGCTGTAGGCTCGATTGAGTGCGAATGAGGGCCCAGCACACTCCACAGACAACAACAGCAGCAGCAGCAGCAGCAGCAGCCAGCACAGCCAACAGATTTCCCTCGGCTCGCAGGGCTCCTCTTCCCTATATACTCGGCAGAGGAACCGAATACCATCATACACACCACCCCGGTTCTTATTTACGATCGTCCTGTTGTAGGTTCCTTCCCTGGCTCCTCTCTGCTTGTTCTTCCTAAAAAGATCTCCGCCACAGCAGTAGTTGTTGCCGGTGTGTGTGTGCCCAAACAGCCTCTCATGTACTGCTGCTTCTGCTGTGTAAATCTAGGATGACACATCACAGACAGGATGGTTTTGCTGGACACTCGCACCTATAGCCGTTCTCTCGTGTTCCCCTGGGGCAAGTGCTGTGGTGTAAACTATTGTATGTAAACACTCCGATTGATGAATTAGACGTGAGTGTCTGATAGTTGCACCGCTCCCCGCCTCGGCTTGTCTGTCGTCTACTCTCCCGATGTGCTCCACCGCACATAGACTAAATAGATATTCGTTGCACAAAACAGGAGAGAGGGGAAACAACACTCCATCGACTGGTCTATCGAACGCAGTCGCCAGCCAAATGATTCAGCATGATCAGCCGATTACACTCTCAAACACCCCCCTATCATGTATTTACCCGTAGACTACTGCTGCAGAGTCTACAGCATTATTAGGGTGTGTGTGCACACACGGCGACGCCGCCACAGCAGCAGCAGCAGGATCAGTCGCCGCGCACTTACCGGGGCGCCGTGACAGCCCCAGCCTGTCAAACACCCATACCCCCCTTGCACAGATCAAACGCTTGAAGAGACAACGACCATCCAGCCCCCCGTGTCGTGCCGTGCTGTAGACTGGTCCATTCGAGCCATCGGGTGGCGAAGCGGGTGGCTAGGTCGAGGAATATGACAGGAGGTGACCCGAGACTGTCGTCTGCGAACACGCCTCCAACATTTTTGGGGGGGCCCTCAACCATCTGACCCCCGCCCGAAAACGCCTTCCGAACGGCGAAGTTGCATCATGAAAGCAAAGGTCGACAGCACAACGAGCACGCGAAGGCATTGTCATGGGAAGGAGAAGTCGGGCTATAAAAGGAATCGGCCTCGTCGCGGTGTTTTGTAAAGAGGTTGGAAGCGTTTAGCTCTCTATCTCCAGAGCGGAACCGAATCAAACCAGTCGTGATGCTTTTAGGATCCGAAGATTCAAGCATGTTTGGGGCGTGATATCATTTATTCACCAACAGTATGCATAGTAAATAGTGGAGAGCGCTCTCGTTCGTGAGCAGCCTTTACTGAACACCCTCCTTGCGTCACATAAATTATTACAATGCACCGCAGCCAAGGTTCGTCTGTCCTTTTAGCCTCGAAGCTACCGTAGTTCTTCTGTAGGACAGACCATACATATAGACCAGGCTGTACAGAAGAACATGCAAGCGACGGCTGCAGCACATACTTATACTTGCTGTGAACGGGATGGTGGACACGATAAGGAGGGAGGTATGCTACAGGTGAAATGTCCACGCAACAACTTAAAATCTACGCAGCCCAGCACTTATATCGTTTCCTCTTGAGTGCTTACGACCACCGCCAATCCACTCTTCATTTAACCATGAATAATTGTATGTACGTCAGGACTGCTTAGTGTAGGTGTCAAGGCGGCGCATTACTGGCGGAAGTGATGTCGCTCCGTCGGTAATCAACGTGAACAAGCCAAGACGTACAACGGGCGTTTGTCAATGACCAAATCTAGCCCTCGGTCGCTGCCGCCCTCGTCGCCGCCGCCGGAAGAATCAGGTAAAGATGCAGGTGCTACGCGTACAGTAGTTGTAGCACATCGTGAGTGGTGCTGGTGTTGTCGAAACACCTACAACTCCATCACCACTTAAATACGGAACAGGCATTGGACATTAGGATACGAAAAACTAACAGAAATACTGCAGGGATTCTACAGGTGTGAATGTCGACCGGTCTGAATGTTCCGAGCTACAATCCTCGAAACAAACGCTCAACAGCTTCAACCCAACCCCTCCCCCGCTAAACCATCACGACCCCTGCCCCTACTATGCGCCTCAGTTGGGATAAAACGTAACCCCCTCCAAGGGCGATACGGCAACCACAACTGCGCACCTCGACCCATGGACCACCAAAACTGTGGTGTCCTCAGTCCAGTACCACTTCTTTTCGCGCGCTCAGAACCAAGAGAGTGCACTTCGGTGGATACAAAACTTATCAATCCCCAACGAGAGACACTTACAAATATCTTGAAGCGCAATAGCATGTGTCGCTTCGGCCGAAAAAACGAAAAAGAACACACACACACTCACACACCTTGAGAAGATGAACGCCCAGCATCCGTCTCATCTGGGACCTCGTCGTGAAAGGTACCTGTACAAGCCAACCCAACCACCCCGCGGAGAGACGAAAGCCACGCCCTTCACCTTCCACGCCCCCCAAAATCGAAATGCTTACAAGAAAAACACTGCCAAGACACGTGAAGTGACCATTCCTTCCGCCTCCTGCCACCGACTACTTTCCCCCCCATCTGCCCACGCCTTGTGGCCGCTGCACCTATAATTGGGTCGTCGCCCTTTTCGCCAAGAACAGTAACACATCACGCATCCACGATACTGACTAGACCGGCGGCAAGTTCAGGCCGAACTCCTTGGCAAACCTCTCGAGGGAGTTCCTAGAGCCTCCGCCGGTGTCGGCGGCGGCGGCGGCGGCGGCGGCCGCCCCACCACGCCTGCCATGCTCGAAGCCGGTAGCAACGACGGCGGCGGCAGTGGCATAATGCATTTGGCACAGGCCGTAGGCCTCCTGGCGTTTTCCGGCGGCGAGGGAAGCGGCCACCATGCCGCGCGCGCGCCCGGCGCGCACGAGCGTGCTGACCATGGCATCGAAGTGCCTGGCACGCGAGACAGACGATTGGAGCAGGTCGGCGGCGAGGGGGGGGGGGGCGATGGCGATTTGAAGGGCCTTAGAATTCTTCGGACAACGACGACAACGACAACTAGCGATTTCACAGTATTTGTGCGAGTGGTCATACACACGTCTAGACCGCGGCCGACGACAACGACAACTATTATAGTACGATTTCACAGTTTTTGTGCGAGTGGTCACACACACGCCTAGACCGCGGCCGACGACAACGACAACTATTATAGTACGATTTCACAGTTTTTGTGCGAGTGGTCACACACGCGCCTAGACTGACTTCCGTAACTGGGTTGCTCCACAACCAAGAGGGTGCAACTGCTGTACAACTGCTCAACAGGGTGGGCTCTAGAATGGCCTCGTCGGAGAGCGAGTGCACCTTAGACGTGTACTGGTAACCTTTACCTTTCGCACTCTCTTCGTTGTGGAGTAATCGAGCTGAAAGAAAAAGTCAGTCCAGGGAAGGTGCGACCCCTTGCAAAATTGCGGTACAAAGGAACAGGAACCCAGCGCAATGCACCGCTTGTAAACATCCGCGTCAACCGACCGGCATGAATCTTACATTTGCACGGCTCCGCGTACTCAGTCGACGTGCCGACAGCTGGCGTGTATGTAACCTCCTCGACCCAAAAAAATCAACTTTGAATGGGTTAGTCCCACGAGCGGCAGAGGAGAGGCAAAGCCCACCTTGTCCCGCGAAGCTCGGCCCACCCCCGGCGCTCGTCGATCCACACGAAAATGGCTTCCAGGATCACCTGCAGAACACAACAAACGACAGGTAAGAAGACGAGACGATTCTCTCAAAGACGCCGGGAGTGTTGAGCCACGAGAGACCCCACAGATCCCGCCGTTAGAGTGGGATCTTGAGAATTTGAACACGGGAGTGGATGCAAGACAGAAGAAAAAAATGACGGTCATGGATGTCAGCAAAACATGTGCACTGCTTTTCCGCCCCTGTCCGGTTTCTACCTTCGGTCTTTTCAGCCCTTCTCGCTCCCCCTACATCGTCCAGCAGCAAGCACCACGGCAGCACACCACCACCCACCTGGTTCGCCGTGCCGCCCCACACACCGCTCCCGCCGCCCGCCGCCACCGGCCGTAGCTCGTCGAGAACCACGTTCAAGGCCACCCCGCCCCCGCCGCCGCCCCCGCCGCCGCCGCCGTTGCCGGGCTGCTCTAGCAAATCTAAGACGGCGGCGGTGCGAGGCACGGGTCCCGGTACGCCCAGCGCTATCTGCACGGCCTGGGCGTGGAAGCGGGGACCGAGGTCTGCCAAGGTGGAGTAGAACCACTTGAGGTTCATCCGCTCCGGGAAGGGACACGCTCCAAGCAGCAGAACCACCTGCAAGTAGTTTCCAAGGGAAGGGGTTGTAGCGCAAAGTCGGTCGAACAGCAAAGTCGGTTTGTTGCTGCCGATGCTTGCTGCTGCTGCAGAATTGTATCGTAAGCCGGTTGCAAATTGCATTACCTACTGCTGCTGCTACTGCCGCTGTCGTCCTCCACGGTGTTGGTGATCGTCGTAACTATTCGCCGTCCAAGAACTGCTCTCTCCACACACCAGAAAGAAAAAAAAAAATCGAACTGTATTAACCTTTCATTCCTGAGGTCAAGCAAGTTCCTCCAATTCTCACCCTCACCCCCCCTCGTCACGACACCAAAACAAAACAAAAAAACAGAGATAGGCTGTCTATCTACCTGTTCCACGACCGCATTCACGTCCTCGTGGGGACGCTCCCCATTTCCACCCCCGCCACCCGCCTGCGCCGGCGCCGGCGCCTGCCCCGCCGTGACCCCACTACCCCCACTACCCCCACGACCCAACGCCCCACCGCCGGCGCCGCCGTTTCGACCACTGGTCATGGCGAACAGAGACGCCCCGAACGATGTCGACGACGCCCCCGGGAACGCGGCAGCGGCGGTGGCACCCCCGGGGGCCCCGCGGGTAGCGGCGGCGGCCTCCTTCCTTCGGCGGCGTTCTTGGCGAGCCACGAGCTCTTCCAGCGGGGACCGGAGGGCCTTCAACAAGAATGAGGTTGAACGAGAGCATAGCGGCGGCGGCGGCGGGGGGACGGAGGGAAAGGTGGCGTGTGAGACGTTCGCGGTGTATGCAGGCGAAACGAAAGTAAAAGTTGATCTCTGTCTTGAGATGATTTTGTCGGGGGACGTGATCTACATGGCAGTTCTAGAGGTCTCTGAGGGGGGTGGCATCTTGTGTCACCTACGGGTACATACCTCCTCCCACGAAGCAGCCAGCGTCGCCCCGCTCCTGGCGAACGCCTCCGCCACCGAGGATCGGACGACGCGCGGGAACACCCTCATGATGAGGACTCGACGGAGTTCGTCGTGCCTGCAGGCGTCGGCCAGGATAGGGGACCACAGCCCCACGTCCCCGGACCGTGCGTCTAGGAGCATGTCGCACATGAGAGGGATCAGGCTGCGCTCTCCCCTGCTTTTGGATGGTTTCGTTTGCCGAAGAAGGCCGAAATACACGTACACACGGTAGGGGGATCGATGAGCCGAGAGGGCGGGTTGTAAAAGGGGGTGGAGGGGGCGCAACGGACAGCGAGAAGAGAGGGAGACTTAGACAAGGGTTCAGGGCACGGCAGCCGAACAACCGAGTTAACACATTTTCTATCTTCGTCCATTCCATTCTAGTCGCCAGTTCACGACTTTCGGCAACGTTTGATGCACCAGCTGGGGTTACACAGGAAGAAGGAGAACATCATTTTGGTTGCCTACACAGGTGTTGTTTTCTCCGCCTTGCGTTGCACGAGAAAGATCGTTTCGAGTTGTTCGCGCGGAGATACACCACCAAACCTGATCGTGAAAATCAACTGAACTCTACTTTCTTCTTTCAGATGAACTACTGTCGGAATAGAAGGTCCGATGGGTGTGATGAACACAACCATCTCAACCCTCTCCTCTCTCTCTCTGTGTCTTGCCTGTGGTCTCTCCTCAAGGCCCTTACGATGTCTTCCGCTGGGCACGAAGCGACTTCTTCAAGCTTGTGCGGCAGCCTCGCCTCCTCCAGCTCCGACATGTAGCCAACGTTCCTGCGTTTTTGCCATCGTGCATACGAGCAAGGGTGTTGATTGAGCCAACGGTAAATAAGAGGAGCCCAAAAACAAACATACGGTACATTGTAGTCCGTTCGGATTAGTGAGCTCACAACAAAAAGCAAGACCCTCTGCGTGTGTGTGTGTCTCTCGCTCTCTCTTTCTCCATGCACGCACACGGCTATGACTACTATCGTTGCCTATATGTTTGGATTTTCCTCCCTCTGTGTCGGACGGCAAATACAGCACAAGAAACACAACAACACCCTTGTATCGCACCACACATCACACATTACACATCACACAGGGACAAACACAGACACCGACCAGCAGTACCTGCGGAAGTCTGAGAGCGAGGATAGCCCCTCCCCCTGGGCATCCCACCCTTCCTTCTCCTTGTCGCTCGCCATGACCTCAGCGACAAGGGTGGGCGGTGCCAGCGCGGAGAGCGCCAGCAGGGCGCGAAGCCTGGCTCGGAACTTTACCCTACAAAACACAAAAACAGGCCAGTGGCGAAGCGGCGGGGCGTGTGTTTGTGCAGCAACGACAGACGGTTAGACGGAGGGAGGGAGCAAAACATGTTACCCTACCAAGCACCGCAACCGGCCAGCGAAGAAGCGGCGGCGCGCGTGTGTGTGTGTGTAGTAATGACCGATTGTTAGACGGAGCGGGAGGGGGGAGGGGGGGGGGGGGGGTGTACTCATAGTCGTGCATGCCGCAGTCGTTTGACCATTGACCTCGCATCCCTACAAAGCCGGGACGGAGCACGCCGGGTTCTCACCGGACCAGGCTCTCACATCACCAAGCGCGAAGCGCCGTGAGGTATTTGGCGAGTCGCATGAAGGGTGAGCTGCATCCTGCTAAGGGTGTTCGGCATCTTGTGCTTACTTCCTTGCGTACGGATGACAGCTACGTATGACTTAATTTATTTTCTGGTGCTTTCACTTCCAAAGACAGTTGTAAGCACATGTGTAACTGCCTCGAGGAAGCTTGCCCATTTGAACACAACGGGGTGGGATCATCCCCCGTTGCGGGGAGGGAGGTTTCTCGCCCCCCCACAACGGGGGGGGGGGGGGGGGGGTACTAATGCAAACGTATGCCGTACTCGTTAAAACATTGACCTCGCATCCCTAGAATGCCGGGACGGAGCGATTAGACGGATGGAGGGAGTCAAACGTGTTAACACGCGATGGGGCTTAGCGGGATAGAGGATGCCAAGTCTGTAGTGCTGGTGTATCGAAATAAAAAAATAACTACTGATCAACATGTCACCATTTCTGTGCGCGTTTTGCGCCACCCTGTAATCAAGCTTGGCCCTCCACATCAAAATAGATCATCGGTGGCACAACGGCATGTTCACCGGTCCAAGCTTAACCCCAACGTAGTTGTTCTTGCCTTCACGTAAAAAAACGTTCCGGCCTCTGCCCAGTACCATGCAACTACATCCGTACCGGCCCAACGTCTTCCTTGAACACAAGCGTATCTCAACCGACACGAAACGCAACAGAAAGCGGCCAATATCCTGGTATACGCCATTCTTGATCGAAACCTCAACTCAACAGACAAACACACACACACACACACACAAGTCTCCCCCATGCCGCCCCCTCACGGGGTCCCAGTTAATGGCATTTAGAAGATTTTTGTGTTTTCAACCGCACTGAGACTGACGTCTTTTCATTGGTCAGCCGGTTAGCGGGGTCGATGCTAATAATAATTAAAAAAAAAAAACACACACACACAAGAAAGCGGCCACTAACCTGTTTGAGCGGCCGTCCCTGCGGCCGTCCTTGGCAATGGACAGCAGAACCGAAATTCGCGACTTGAGGTCCATGAAGGCGATCGAGTCGCACACGCTCGTGTCCCCGTCCACCGCATCGTCCGAGAAGGTTACCGTCAGCACGAAGGCCGCCCGCAGGGCCAGCGTGGCATCCTCCAGCATTCTCTCCTGCGGGGAGGAGAGGACGAAAACACGAGAACGAATCAGGGAAAAAAACAGCCAACAGAGGTGGGAAGTCACGAAAAATACTACCGAACGGGAACCAGGACGGAAAAAAAACAGCAGTAGTAAGTCATGAGAACAAGAGTGATATGACGGTGGTGTTGCTCGAACAAGAGTTATCAGACAAGGCGTTGGTGTACTGATGATGTTGCTCGGCCGAAACAGCGAAAAACAGTACGAAGTCAAGAGACAAGAGCGATACAACGATGTTGCCAATCAAGTATCGTAAGACACGAGTTGTTGCAATGGCGTTGCTCAATCAAGTATCGCAAGGCAAGAGTCGATGCAATGATGCTGCTCAATCAAGTATCACGACGCCCTCCGGACAAGAGTCATGCTCCCAGCAGCAAGTTCTATACGCGTTGCTCCTAGCCGATGTTGACCGAGAATCACTATCACTAGCATTCACTGACAAGCAACGAGCTCCACCCAGCAGATTTCGCCGTGTCGTGTTTGTCTCCATCTAGCGCAACATTCTATTGGGTCCTCCGAGTCATAGAGTGGCAACTATATTGGATACATCGCGGTTATGTAGACTACACTTTGCTCGGTTTTGGAAGCCATGCGGTCAGAAAAGGACTTCCAAACAACAGCTTCTTCAACTTGCGCTGTCGCAAAAAAGGGGATAAAACCTACCCGATCACGCCTACTTGCATCTCCAACACCGCCGGGGATCACCTTCATCACCCCCACAAACCTGCGTCGCCACATGAAAACCTCACCTCGCGAGCACCCTTGACGAACACGGACTCCCCGCCGCCGCCGCCGCCGCCGCCGCCGCCGACCAACCCAGCGCCGACAAACATCCCGGCGTCTCTCTCTCCCGCCACGGCGGCGGGGGCCCCGCCATGTCCGCTCGTACTACCCGCCCCCCCGCCGAGCTTGTGCTGGCAGATCCAGTTCTTGGCCAGCCGGAAGATGATGGTCTCGACGTCGTGGGGGTCCATGCCGCGCTGGTCGGCCACAGACCTCGCCGCCTGGAGCGCGCCGGTGGCCCGCCTGCGGAAGTCTGACATGTTTCCTCCCCCGCCGCCTGCTTCTGCGAACGCCTCCGCCGCCGTAGAGATGGAGGAACTCCCCCCCCCCCCCGTCGTCGCCGTCGTGGCCATCCACTCGGTGGCCGCTGAATGGGTATGACGCCCTTCCCCGGAGGTGGGGGGGAGAGCGAGAGCGGCGTCGGCGGCGCCCTTTGCGGCCACGACGAGGAGTTCCGCTAGGAGTTCCGTTGAGCTGGAAGGCCAAGCGAAAAATCAGAGACAGCGGAGATCAGCTAACGGAGATAATAGAGAGACGGCTCAGTGGTTTAAAAAAACTGAGGGGAAGGGAAGATGGATCAAGATCGACGGGTCGTTGGTTAAAAAAAGATGAGGGACAACGGAGAGAGGACGCGGCTCAGAGTGGTCACGTGGAGAGCAGAGATGTGAGAGAACGCACGCATAAAATGGGGCATGTAATAACGCCGAGCACACACGCACGAAAATGAGCCGCAAGCATGACAAACAAAACGCGCGCGCAAAAAAAACGCAAACGAACACTCTTTGTGTGAAGGGGTCGTCCGCGCGTGACCTGCGATATACTTGCACACGAGACTACAACAGCAAACAACGCACGCACACACGTTTCTGCCGTCAATCCAGAGAATAAATGGCCTATAGACCCTCCCCCCTCTCCCGCTAGCGGAGTCCAGTTCATGACCTTAAACATAGTTATCCGTTTGCAGCCGTGCGCTGAGACGGACGTCTCGCCATCGGCCAGCCGGTAACAGCGGTCGACGCCAAAAACACAAAAACACACACACCCCTTCTCAACAAATGGCGGTTCTTCGAGCAAGGGTCCCAGACTGTGGCGGCGCACTGAGACAGACGTCTGTCCATTGGCCAGCCCGTCGGCGCGGTCCATGACATTAACCAAAACACACGAAAACACAAACTCTTCCTTTTCGGTTGCGCGCACTACTACTGCTAACACACCCGGACAGCAGGAACGGTGACAGGCGCTCCGCCATGTCGGCCCCGACGCAAGCCTTGGCAGTCATGAGGTGCTCCAGCCGCAGCGCCCTCCGCTGGAGACGGTCTACGACGACCTCGGCCTCCACCTCTCCCCCTCCCTCCTCCATCTCCTCTTCGACTTCGGCCCTGGCGCCCGCCTTGGTCGCGGGGTCCTGATTGTTGTTGTCGGCGGTGCTCTCTGCAGCTAGCGACGGCAGAGGGAGCAGCGTCAACGAAGGCCGGGGTCTGCTTTCGGGGTGCTGCTCGTCCTGCTCCTGCTCCTCGTCGTCGAGCGATCCGGCCGCCGTGATGGCGTGTCCGATGGCTGCCTGCAGGGCTTCCAGACGATCCTCGTCCCTACAAACGAAGGGAGAAAAAAACAAAAAGAGAGAGAAACCGATGGACGTTTGTTGTGTGGACATGAGAGAGAGCAATGGGCGTATTTTTGTGTTGACAGGAGAGGCACATGAAAGCGCAGAATAGGTACATAGTAGCACCAGAGGTACCAGCCTGCAAGTTCATCAGCAATTTGGCGGGTACTCGACATTTCCACCGACATTACAGGGTCCCCACCCTGCAGCGGTGCCTACGGCAGCCGAGACTTGATGACAGAGTTGTGGCGAATTGCTACATGGTACTTCTATTCCGTTATCTCCTACTGTCTTGTGCGGGACCAGGGGTCCAAGGTACAGTTTCCATGCGTTGAACGAAAAACTGGAGAGTTTATAGAAGAAACACGTGAACAAAAGAACAGCAAACTTCAGCTTCCGTGATTGGAACTGAGGCTTGGTTTGCACGAAGTTAATACGGTTGCACTACTTTTCAGCTCTTTATTTTTCTATTTTCCTCCCTCCTGCCACCGCCATCCTAGCTCGCAGATATCCATCCATGAATGCATGCCTACCGACGAGCTACGTTCTGGGGGACACACACACGGCAGGATTCATGGGCGGGGGATGCCTTCGAGTATTATCGTGAAAAAGGGGTTCAGCAACCCTCTTTCTCTCGCCAACACCCAAGCCGACGAGTCCTCAATGTGAGTGTGTGTGAGGCGTCCAATAGGTTCTTCGGACGCCAGCTTTTACACTTTTCGGTATATTATCTGGAGGCATCAGCCGGAGTCGGTCAGTCACGCAGGAGGAAGGCCGCACACTCGTTCGTTCTTCTCGCCGCAACCAACTACGGTACGCTACCATGTAAATAAAATAGTTACCCCATTCAAAGATCCAAAATTGACACAAACTATGCAACTAACTACACACATCGGGCAAACGTTTCCAATTTGTACGAGAAGTGGTACACTTGTCTCTGCCTCATCAAATCCAAAACTTACACCAAGTGATTCACTCCGAGAACAACCATCCGTCAGCGAAACCACCATGAAATGTGTTAAAAACAGCATGACGGCTTAAAAAAAAGGGGGGGCCCCGTTACCTCGTCATGCTCGCCGCCACCCTCTGCGCCGTGGTGCAAGCCAGAGCCGGGTTCTTGATCTTCTCGAGCCACGGCTGCAGAGTCGAGAACGTGGGCACCGGTCCGGGGGGGGAGGCGCCGCCCCCGTCCCCGAGCGGCGTCCCCTTGTCGAGCATGCCTGCCACAAGGCGGGAGTAGAACTCCCCGACGCCCAGTCCCAGCGGGTCTTGTTTTTGAGTGTTTTGTTTCGGCACGTGTTGGGGGTGGATGTCATGGCGGAGAGAGAGAGCGAGAGAAAGAGGGGTGGGGGGGGGGGGTGGGGGGGGGGGGGCAAAAAAAAAAAGAGGTAGGGGAAAAAAAACCGATAGGGGAGGGGGGGGGGGAAAAAAAAA